ATGGTCACTCTTACCAATACTGTCATGGACAGATGCAACTGCAGCTGGCAGATTAGTAAGGATGAGGTCAAGTATGTTTTTCCCTCTTGTTGGTTCCCCCACCACCTGCCGCAGACCCAGTCTAGCAGCTATGTCTTTTAGGGATCGTAGGAACTGCCGATGCTGGAGTCTGAGATAACAAAGTGTGGAGCTGGATAAACACAGCAGGCCAGGCAGCAACAGAGGAGCAGGAAAGCCAAGCCGCTCTTGGTTGTGGGCATCGAAATCCCCCATCCAGAGTACATTGTGTGCCCTTGCCATCCTCAGTGCTTCCTCTAAGTGTTGTTCAACATTAAGCAGTACTAATTCGTTGGCTGAGGGAGGCTGGTATGTGGTAATCAGCAGGAGATTTCCTTGCCCATGTTTAACGTGAAGCCATGAGACTTCATGGGGTCCAGAGTCAATGTTGAGGACTCCGAGAGCAACACCCTCCCAACTGTATCCCATTGTGCCACCACCTCTCCTGGGTCTGTCGTGCCAGTGGGATCACAGAGCATATCCAGGGATGGTGATGGTGGTGTCTGGGACATAGTCATACTCACAGAATCGTACCTTACAGACAATGTCAGGCTGTTGCTTAATTAGTCTGTGAGACAGCTCTCCCAATTTTGGCACTAACCCCCAGATGCTAGTGAGGAGGTCTTTGTAGGGTCAACAGGGCTGTTTCTGCCATTGTTTTTTCTCATGCCTAGATCGATGCCAGGTGATCCGTCCGGTTTCATTTCTTTGAGACTTTGCAGCGATTCATACAACTGAGTGGTTTGCTAGGCCATTTTGGAGGGCAATTGAGAGTCAACCACATTGCTGTGGGTCTGGAGTCACAAGTAGGCCAGACCAGGCGAGGGTGGCAGATTTCCTTCTCTGAAGGACATCAGTGAACCAGATTGGTTTTTCCGACAATCGACAATGATTTCATGGCGATCAGTAGATTCTCAGACTTTCTTTTAATTATTGAATTCAAATTCCACCATCTGCCGTGGTGGGATTCAAACCTGAGTCCCCAGAACATTAGCTGGGTTTTTAAATTAATAGTCTAGCGATAATACCACGAGGCCATTGCCTACCCCTTAAAGACTGTCTCTGGACTCTATGTTCCTGTTAGGGTGAAGGGCAAGACTGGTAGGTGTAGAGAATGCTAGATGACTAGAGAAATTGAGCTTTTGGTCAAGAATAAAAAGGAAGCATATGTCAGGAACAGAAATCAAGGGATTCCCTATAAGAGTATAAAAGCAGTTGGAGTATACTTCAGATGGAAATCAGGAGGATATAAAGGGGACATGAGATAGCTTTGGCAAAAAAGGTTAAGGAAAATCCAAAAGGATTCTATAAATACATCAAGGACAAAGAGTAACTAGGGAGAGAACAGGGCCCCGTAAAGATCAGCAAGGCTACCTATGTGTGCAACTGTAGGAGAAGAGGGAGACACTAAACAAGTATTTTACATCAGTGTTTTTAGAGGAGAAGGATTTGGAAGATTGAGAACGTGGGAAAATAAATAGCGACATCTTGAAAAATGTCCATGTTACAGGGGAGGTGGTGCTAGATGGCTTAAAACACATAAAGGTGGATAAACCCCCAGGACCTGATCAGGTGTATCTTAGAACTCTGTGGGAAGCTAGAGAGTGATTGCTGGGCTCCTTGCTGAGATATTTGTGTCATCGATAGCCACAGGCGAAGTGCCGGAAGACTGGAGGTAGGCTAACGTGGCGCCACTATTTAAGAAACGTGGTAAGGAAAAGCCAGAGAACTTATAGACTAATGAGCCTGACATAGGTGGTGGGCAAGTTGTTGAAGGGAATCCTGAGGGACAGAATTTATATGTACTTGGAAAGGCAAAGACTGATTTGGGATAATCAACGTGGTTTTGAGCGTGGGAAATCATGTCTCACTAATTTGATTGAGTTTTTTGAAGTAGTAACAAATAGGATTGATAAGGGCAGAGCGGTGATCTACATGGACTTCAGTAAGGTGTTCGACAAGGTTCCTCATGACAGACTGGTTAGCAAGGTTAGATCACATGGAATACAGGGAGAAGTAGCTATTTGGATACAGAACTGGCTTGAAGGTAGATGACAGAGGGTGGTGGTGGAGGGTTGCTTTTCAGATTGAAGGCCTATGACCAGCAGTGTGCCACAAGGATTGGTGCTGGGTCCACTGCTTTTTGTCCAAATCCAAATGATTTGGATGTGAACATAGGAGGTATAGCTAGTAAGTTTACAGATTTGGAGGTGTAGTGGACAGTGAAGAAGGTTACCTCAGAGTACAACAGACTTGATCAGATGGGCCAATGGGCTGAGGAGTGGCAGATGGAGTTTAATTTAGATAAATGTGAGGTGCTGCATTTTGGAAAGGCAAATCAGGGCAGGACTTATACACTTAATGGTAAGGTCGTGGGCAGTGTTGCTGAACAAAGTGACCTTGAAGTACAGATTCACAGTTCCTTGAAAATGGAGTTACAGTTAGATAGGATAGTGAAGAAGGCATTTGGTATGCTTGCCTTTATTGAGTATAGGCAAATCAGGGCAGGACTCATACACTTAATGGTAAGATCCTGGGGAGTGTTGTTGAACAAAGAGACCTTGGAGTGCAGGTTCATAGTTCTTTGAAAGTGAAGTCGCAGGTAAACTGGGTAGCGAAGAAAGTGTTTAGTATGCTTGCCTTTCTGGGTCAGTGCATTGAATATAGGAGTTGGGAGGTCATATTGAGGCTGTACAGGACATTGGTTAGGCCTCTTTTGGAATATTGTGCGCAATTCTGATCTCCCTGCTATAGGAAGGTGTTGTGAAACTTGAACGGGCTCAGAAAAGATTTACAACGATGTTGCCAGGGTTGCAGCTATAGAGAGAGTGAATAGACTGGGGCTATTTTCCCTGCAGCATTGGAGGCTGATGGATGACCTTACAGAGGTTTATAAAATCATGTGGGGCATGGATAGGATAAATAGACAAGGTCTATTCCCCAGGCTGGGGGAATCCAAAACTAGACAGCATAGGTTTAAGGTGAGAGGGAAAAGATTTAAAAGGGATCTAAGGGGCAACATTTTCACACAGAGGGTGGTGCATGTATGGAATGAGCTGCCAGAGGAATTGGTGGAGGCTGGTATAGTTACAGCATTTAAAAGGCATCTGGATGGATACATGAACAAGAAAGGTTTAGAGGGATATGGGCCAAATGCTGGCAATGGGACTACATTTATTTAGGATATCTGGTCAGCATGGACGCGTTGGACCAAAGGGTCTGTTTCTGTGCTGTGTATCTCCGTGACTCTATGACAAAGGATGCAGACGGTTGTTGGCCAGAAATGTTAGGGATCATTGGATAAGATGGAAGCCTCAAGGAGCAAATGATGAAATGGAGCCATGAGGTATTAGCTCAGACTTTCATGTTAGGAATCGTTGCTAAAATAATGATACAGAGGCTGGTATCCTGTCACCAAGTCAACCTTTATTGACATTTGGAAAGTCCTTGACTTTTATCCAGTTCCCTCAGAGTCAGCTCTGAGTGAACAGAACCTCTGACACTCCTGATAAAGCCAATTGTAGTGCCTATTTGAAGTCTAGTTGGGCTTCAGCCAGTAGGCACTTTTGCCTGGTTACATCATTAATCCCACAAACCAAATGGTCTCCTGGCATCACATTCAAGGTGAAACCAATATCACATGCCTCTGCCAGTCATCTCAACCTTTTAACCTACTCGAAAATCCTGATACGGATTCCCTGAATTTCAAATTGCTGAGTAAAAATGTTCACTACTCAGAATTAGAGAATGCTTGGGGTTGTAATATTCCTTAACTAAATCCGTTAGCTCTTGAAAGGTTTAGTATCTGGTGCCTTAGGGAAAGTTAGGCTCCTAATAACTGAAAAAGCCGCAGGTCCACAAGCTGCCAGGAGACTTATCGTTGCTTTTCATCTGCCCAATGTCATTTACCCAGAAAAAATAATACATTCTTTCTACATACTGAGCCGAGTCATCAACAACAGGATCGAATGAGTCAAGCTTGCCAAATAACGGCATGATGCCAGATATGTTTACCCCAACTCAAAGACAACTGTTGCAGGTGAATTTCTTCAGGACCATGCTTTGCTCTCATCGCCATTGAAATATCTACACAGAGGCCAGTATCTTGTCACTAAGTCACCCTTTATTTACATGTGGAAAATCCTGAGCCAGCTCTCAGTGAATAGGATGTCTGACATTCCTGTTTTTATCTGTCAGGCAGGGCTCCTATTGAACCAGATCAATAGCCTCCATCAGGGAACTCATATTCTATGATGCCCACCTGCCTGACCTTGGTACAATCATTACAGTTGCTGTCTACTATCTTCCCGCAGTATGGGAGAATAGAAAACTGCAAATAAATGAGGCGTGGTTTCGTAATTATGAGATATAAATACATAAAATTAGGCCACTCACCACTTATTAGCAAGACTTTTGTTTAAAACCGCGAGTGGAAAATCAGACTCGTCACATTTTACCAATTGACTTGGCATCGCCCACATTATTCAAAAGCTGGGAAGATGCCACACAATATTTTGGCACTACAACAATATGTTAGTTAGCATACATTTTATTGCTCCAGTCCTGGAGTTGGACTTGTATGTACCACCTTTTCATTCAGACATCCACTATCAACTAAGCTATAGCTAACACCATTAAATTTAAATGGGCAAAAAGTTCCAGTTTAATTGTGTTCATTTAAAGGTTGTATTTACAGACTGTTTGATAATATTAACAACCAGCTACTATTTACAGTAATATATAGAGATAGTATCTTCAAGTTGCTAATGAGCAGCCTAGACTTTACATCAGCCTAACGTTAACCATGCTTTCTCATATTGAATCGCATAGTCAATGTTCAACATTTATTGTGCCAATGTTAAAAAGTTTAGCAAAATTAGTAGCCTGCTGGTGACAATCCCATGCTTTATTAAAGGATACGCACCAAAAGAAATGGAAGATACCTTTCAATCTCAAGTTTGCGGGGACGCTGTCCTGGAGCCACATGAAATGGAACTTGCACCTTTGGTTGAAATGATTTCAGTGTAAAGTCAGACCTTGTTTGCAATTCAGTACTTGATCCATATATTTGTGATTCTAGATGTGTTATAAGATCATCAGGCCCATCGAAGGCAGAGACTGAAATTAGGGAATTAAGTGTTATTAAGCACATAGAAGCAAACTGCAAAAGAACCAGAACAATAACAGCATGGTTCCGAGAGAAAAACTATATTAGCCACTTTTTTTCTTGAAAAGTCAACAAAGTCTAGAAATGAAAGAAAAACAGAAAGTGCATTATTCTGACAAAAGACCATGATCCTGAAATGTTCAAGCTTTTTCCCTCTGCACAAGTATTTCCAACATTTAGAGATAGTGGGAACTGCCGATGCTGGAGAATCTGAGATGACAAGGTGTAGAACTGGACGAACACAGCAGGCCAAGCAGCATCAGAGGATTAGGAAAGCTGACGTTTCGGGTCTGGATCCTTCTTCGGAAATGAGGGAGGGGAAGGGGATTCAGAAATAAATAGAGAGAGAGGGGGAGGCAGATGGAAGATGGATAAAGGAGCAGATACGTGGAGAGGAGACAGACAGGTCAAAGAGGCGGGGATGGAGCCAGTAAAGGTGAGTGTAGGTAGGGAGTTAGGGTGGGGATAGGTCAGTCCAGGGAGGACGAACAGGTCAAGGAGGCGGGATGAGGCTGGTAGGTAGGAGATGGGGGTGGGGCTTGAGGTGGGAGGAGTGGATGGGTGGGAGGAAGGACGGACAGGTTAGGGAGGCGGGGACGAGCCTGGCTGGTTTTGGGATGCGGTCGGGGAGGGGAGATTTTGAAGCTTGTGAGATCCACATTGATACCATTGGGCTGCAGGGTTCCCAAGCAAAATATGAGGTGCTGTTCCTGCAACCTTCGGGTGCCATCATTGTGGCACTGGAGGAGGCCCAGGGTGGACATGTCATCCAAGGAGTGAGAGGGGGAGTTGAAATGGTTCGCGATTGGGAGGTGCAGTCTTTGTTTAATTTGTCACACCCATGGTATCAGACAGTTTTTCCCTCAGATTTTCTGCGTATTGAAGGAATTGGAGCAGAGACGCCAAATCCATGGTACTGAAGCAAGAAATGGTTGGAATTAAATAAAATGATAAAAGTGCACTAGCTATAGACTGGGATTATACTCATTGGAATTCAGAAGAATGAGGGGAGATCTTATAGAAACATATAAATTTATGAAGGGAATAGGTAATGTGGAGGCAGGGAGGTTGTTTCCGCCAGCAGGTGAAACTAGGACTAGAGGGCATCGCCTCAAAATAAAGGGAAGCAGATGTAGGGCTGAGGTCAGGAGGAACTTCTTCACCCAATGGGTTGTGAATCTGTGGAATTCCCTGCCCAGAGAAGCGGTTGAAGCTACCTCGCTGAATGTTTTTAAGGCAAGGCTAAATAAATTTTTGAACAGTAAAGGAATTAAGGGTTATGGTGAGTGGGCGGGTAAGTGGAGCTGAGTCTCAAGAAGATCAGCCATGATCAGGCAGGCTCGAGTGGCCAGATGGCCTACTCCTGCTCCTGGTTCTTATGTTCTTATGTTCTTCTTATCTGAAGAAGCAGTAAGACTCTGAAAGCTTGTGTTTTCAAATAAACCTGTTGCACTATAACCTGGTGGCATGTGATTTCTGACCTAGATCAAAAAGGATTGAAGGAAGATTGGAGAACAGGTCCATACATAGAAACTAAACCACATTTATGAATGACAAATGCCTTATCAAAAATTTGATACCTTAACATTTGTTCAACCACTACATTCAATCTCATCTATAATATTAGGGACATACTTTGACTTTATCATTGGTGTAAAATGGGTGCTGGTAAATCAGCACCCTGCTGTACATTTTTCAATTTTTATTTCCGTATGTGCTACAGGCAATAGGTACTTACCTTGAGGAGTGTAGTTCTGCTGGCCTGACTGATTTAGATAGTGCCTTAAAACCTCAGGACCTTCTTGAACATTCTAAGAAAAATAAAATAGTATGTTATTAGACTCAAACTTTTCCAAACATAAATATTAATTAGCATTTAAAAACAGAAGATGTTGGAAATAGTCATTAGGTCATTTTACATCTATGAAGATAGAAATAGAATAATAACTAACAGCTGTAAAAGGTCTATATAGTTTGTTCAAGCTGGAGCATCACCAGACAAAAATACTGTAAAGCATTATTTGAAAGCATGAGTATAAATTTGTTTTGGCCAGAAGCACCAAACAGACCATAGCAAATTGGCTGCTTTTCTTTTTAAATCAACCTTTTCAGAGATGTTATTACACCCCTTGAGAAGGTGGGACTTGAACCTGGGGTCCGTGACTCAGATGCCATGTTATGACACAAGGATTGCAAAGTAGACCAAATCAGACTCATTAATATTAGATTTGCAACACAGTGAAATTAAAATGTTCAATGACCTTCAAAATTGCCCAATTGTTCCTAACCAGACTTTTAGAATAATTGATATCAGACACCGAGTTTATAGCTTAAACAAAAGAAAAACAATTTATTATGTATACTGTGACTTTAGTACAGCAAAGCTAAATAGATAATCTAATTAATGTCTAATTTAAAGCCAATCTTCTTTGATTGTAACCCTCACACACACACAAACAAACACAGTTAAGAGACAGATTGAAAAAAGAGTTGTAATTTCCCGGTTCAATAAACATTTCAACAATGAGTACTAGGTCCTTATGGAATCCTTGAATGATGTGTTGTATTACAGATATATAGGATTGTATCTTGCTTGAGTTTCAAAGCCACCAGTCAATGCAAACAGCTTCTAGCAGGCTCCGAGAAATATTCACTTATTTCTTATGAGCTGGGATTCTTTTGAGATCATTCAATAATTCTTTAACGAAGATAAAACTAGAGAGTATAAAACTCAAACACATCTTTCCAGACCGACAGCTTCACAGCACACAACATTCTGCCCAAGAAACCCAGTTCAAACTATAACTTTTTTTTCACCCACATTCTCTGTAGTTGGCTGGCTGGCACCAGCATCCCCTTGATTGACCAATGCAACATCCAACCAGCTGCCAGTTCTTAAACATAACACATGCTGGTGCTGAAACATCTGCACTGTTCTTAAAACATTAATTAATTCTCTTTCCAGGCCAGTTCCCATAAATAAACAGCTTGTTTGCTCTCTTCTCCTTTCCAAAATAAACTGCTGCTCACCAAAAATGCAAAAAAGTAAAGAAAAACAGTGACGGTCTCAACAGCATGGACAATACCACTGTGCCACATGAGCCTTGTTGGCTGTTCATTGTATACTCTGTCTGAGGCCCATTTCCAAACAGAGTTTTAAATTAACTATCACTTGCCAGTTCCAATTTTTTGATCAATTAAATCTCAAGACTAGTCGCTTTGATGCATAAAGGTAAGAATTCTAAAGATTTCAGTTGATAAAGAAAGGAAATGGTAGTAAACAGTGGAAAAGATAGTCTAAACTTTAGGAGGACTTAGACAAACTGGCGAAAAAAGCTGACACATAGCAAATGAGTTATAACAGCAACAACTGTCATGAAATATTTTGGATGGAAAAATGAGTAAAAGGGAAATAAACTAAATGGTACGATTTTAACAGAGATAGTAGGAACTGCAGATGCTGGAGAATCTGAGATAACAAGGTGTAGAGCTGGATGAACACAGCAGGGCAAACAGCATCATAGGAGCAGGAAGGCTGACGTTTCGGGCCTGGACCCTTCATGAGAAATGGGGGAGGGGAAGGGGGTTCTGAAATAAATAGGGAGAGAGGGGGAGGCGGATAGAAGATGGATAGAGGAGAAGATAGGCGGAGAGGAAACTGACAGGTCAAAGAGGAGGGGATGGAGCCAGTAAAGGTGAGTGTAGGTGGGGAGTTAGGGAGGGGATAGGTCAGTCCAGGGAGGACGGACAGGTCAAAGGGGTGGGATGAGGTTAGTAGGTAGGAGATGGGGGTGGGGCTTGAGGTGGGAGGAGGGGATAGGTGGGAGGAAGAACAGGTTAGGGAGGCGGGGACGAGCTAGGCTGGTTTTGGGATGCGGTAGGGGGAGAGGAGATTTTGCAGCTTGCAGAACACCTACGCTTGGTTCGCAATAAACAACTGCACCTCCCAGTCGTGAACCATTTCAACTCCCCCTCCCATTCCTCAGATGACATGTCCATCCTGGGCCTCCTGCAGTGCACAACGATGCCACCCGAAGGTTGCAGGAACAGCAACTCATATTCCGCTTGGGAACCCTGCAGCCCAATGGTATCAATGTGGATTTCACAAGTTTCAAAATCTCCCCTCCCCCTACCGCATCCCAAAACCAGCCCAGCTCGTCCCCGCCTCCTTAACCTGTCCTTCCTCCCACCTATCTCCTCCTCCCACCTCAAGCCGCACCCCCATCTCCTACCTACTAACCTCATCCCGCCCCCTTGACCTGTCCGTCCTCCCTGGGCTGACCTATCCCCTCCCTAACTCCCCACCTACACTTATCTTTACTGGCTCCATCCCCGCCTCTTCGACCTGTCTGTTTCCTCTCCACTTATCTTCTCCTCTATCCATCTTCTATCCGCCTCCCCCTCTCTCCCTATTTATTTCAGAACCCCCTTCTCCTCCCCCATTTCTCATGAAGGGTCTAGGCCCGAAATGTCAGCCTTCCTGCTCCTATGATGCTGCTTGGCCTGCTGTGTTCATCCAGCTCTACACCTGGTACGATTTTAAAATGGGTGCAGAAACAGAAAATGTGGAGGCTATACGTATACACAAGTCTTTGAAGACGACAGAACAAGTTGAGAAGGTTGTTAAAAAGGCAAATGGCAAATAGAGGCACTGAGTACCAAATCTATGACGCTCTGCAAAATGTTCATAAAATATCAGTTACAGCCCAGGACCTAATTCTGGCCAGCCCATTTTGGGAAGGATGCCAAACATTGAGAGATAGAGAGAAAAATTACTGAAAGGCAATAAGATCCAAAGGTTTCAGTCGTGTGGAGAAGCTATATTAGCTGGGCTGTTTCCTTTGGGGAAAAATATTAAGGGGAGATTTAATCTTTCAAAATCACAAAGAATTTTGATAAGAGTAATTGGGAGAACAGTTGCCAGTGATAGAAAGGTTGGTAACTAGGAAGCACAGATTTTAAGCTAACTGCCAAAGAACGTGAAGAAAACATGTTTTTCATGCGTTGAGAGAGATAGTGGGAACTGCCGATGCTGGAGAATCTGAGATAACAAGGTGTAGAGCTGGATGAACACAGCAGGCCAAGCAGCATCAGAGGAGCAGGAAAGCTGACGTTTCGGGTCTGGACCCTTCCTCAGAAAAAGGGTCCAGATCCGAAACATCAGCTTTCCTGCTCCCCTGATGCTGCTTGGCCTGCGATAGGGTTAGCAGTGTTCATCCTGCTCTACAGCTTGTTATCTCTTTTTCATGTGTTGAGTTGTTTTGAGCTGAAAAAATGTTGCCTGAGCAGGTTCAATAATAACTTTCAAACAGGAATTGGATAAATACTTGAAATTGAAACATTTTCAGGATCCTGGAGAAAAGATAGAAGTTGGCATAATTGGCTAGTTCTTTCAAAGAGTGCTGGGCCAAATAATCTTTGGAGCATACCCTTTATGATCACACAATTATTTAAAATGGACGTGTTTTAATTCTGTAATGTAAATATCCAAATAACATGTAAGTCAACACTGGTAATGTAAAATTTAAGTGACAGATAAACAATGTAAGATGCTGTATAATAAAAGACATAAGTTTCCATTTTCAGACTCCCATTCTGGGCTGTTAATTTGAACTAAGGTAAAGAACACAGTCTAGGTTTTCCTGACAGATCAGCAATGGAAATTAGTGAGGAGCAACCATCAAGTCACTTTCATAAAATTACTAACAGGGATATAACAGATATTTTGAATTATTAAGTCAGAAACTGTCAACAATTAGTTCACGGCTGATTAAACTGTATAGAGGAAAAAATGGGTTTTATGGTAGTGTCCATACCTCTAGGCCAGGAAGTCTGGGTTCAGATGTGACCTGCCCTGGAGGCTTATAACTGAACAGGTTCATCAAAAAAGTATTTTTTAAAGGGAACGACAAGGGAGAAAAATGAATGTTATATGCTTGTATTAAAACATGATTTTACTGCTACCTGGTTGCCAGGCCCTAATTTGATATCTGCCTTTACTCTACTCTCTTCCCCATTTAGAAAAGTTTCAAACAACTTTTAATATACACAACAAAATGCAAGCCAAAGATTTCATGGGTGGTGGGGTGGGATGGGGAGGGAATGATAGGAAAAGGAAGTGCAATCACAAACCTATAAACCGTTGTCTGATTTGGAATGTAATCTATTCTTAAGACAGTGGTAGATTTTGAAATAGACATAACATACATCCCCAGGTATAATCAACCATCTCAATCAACCATCAATTTGTTAACAGAATGTAGTTTCTCAAAGCTTGGCTTGGGCTGAGGCAAAATTGAGACATCTACATTTCAGATCAGCATTACCACAACCAAAACCAGTAAAATGCTCATGTGACAGGTGATTGTTCTGAAATTTCTGTAGTGCACTGACTTAGGACAGAGTCAAGTATGTTCATTAATGCAGTTTTCTAGATGTAGTATACAGCAACCCAAACCATTAGAAGTGGTTTGGCCGTGCATGGCATGCAATAGATATTCACAGCACTTACCCCCAGAATGGCTGATGCTCCTGCAGCAAGAATCTCTGAATAGAAACCCCTTGGTTTAATTGCAGGGTATTTTTGCACCATCTCTTCAGAATCCTGTAAGTTGGCTTTAGGTGATTTTAATTTCTTTTTTGGAGGGAATTTTGATCTGTTGCTCAATTCCATCCTCTATCAGAACTCAAACTGAAACAAAGTACAGTTAGATATTGTAACGCCAGTATTGATGTTTCTTGACATTCAAGATTGTTCACTAGAATATAGAAGTTTAAAATTATATGGAGTTTCAATGAAGTAAATATTCCATTAATTGTTAAATTGGTAACAAGAAGGGATATAATTTTTTTTAAAAATCACCAATAAGACTAAAGAACAAGTTTAGAATTTCTTTTTTTACCTAACGCAGGACTGTTAGATTGTGTAATGCACTATGAAAGAAGAAAAATCCACAATAGATTTTAAAGTTATTGGGAACTGTTATGATCTCAGCAACTGTACTATTGGACAAGACACAGTTAAGATTTAAAACTGACTTGATAGATTGTTTATATTTAAAGTGCTGGTCATTTATTGAAGCACAGGCACACAAAACTGCAGTTTTCTTTAACAATGAAACAGACGTTTATTACCATTATAAGACCGTAAGATGTCCAAGCAGAAGTAGGTTATTTGGCCCAACAAGTTTGCTCTGCCTTTCAGTGAGATCATAGCAGATCTGATCATTCCTAACTCCAACTTCCAGACTTATCAGTATTAACATTGATTCCCTTACTGATAAAAAAGTTGGTCTACTTCAGCCTTGAATATACTTAACTCAGCCTCAAAAGAACTCTACAGTAACGAATTCCACAGACTGACTACCTTCCAAGAGAAAAATTACTGCCACATCTGACTTAAATGAGCAATGCCTGACTTGGAGTTTATGCCCTCTGGTCGGAGACTCTCCCACAAGGGAAAATAACTTCTCAGCATCAACTCTGGCAAGCCTCATAAGAATCGTATGTGTTTCAATAAGGTCACTGCTCATTCTTCTAAATTCCAATGAATACAGACCCAACCTACTTAACCTTTCCTCATGAGATATCTTCTCCATACCCAGAATCAACCAAGTGAATCTTCTCTGGGTTTCCTACAATGCCAGTTTATCTTTCCTTTGATATGAGCCAGGAGCAGCCAGCAAGGTAAGTTTGTGCATAAAATACTTACCTTGTGAATAGGTGGAGTGAAGGCTGAGCAGGAGCAAACGCAGACATGGGGACTGCTGGGTAAGTGAACTAATATAGTCGGGCAGTGGCTAAACCCAAAACACTACACGTGTAGTGTCTCCCAACCAAACTCCTCCTCTAACCAAAAAAAAGACTGTGTGGAGGGTCAGTAAGGTGAGGTCTTTTTTTCTTTTTTTTCCTTTCTCTTTATCTCTTTTGGCAATATAGAGCAGAGGGAATGGAAGCTAGGGCAGTTGCATGCTCCTCTTGTAGTATGTGTGAGGTAAGGGTCACCACGAGTGTCCCTGCTGACTTCACTGCAAGAAGTGCACCCAACTTCAGCTCCTCACAAACCGCATTAGGGAACTGGAGCTGCAGCTGGAAGAACTCTATCATTCTGGAGGCTGAGGGGGTGATAGAGAGGAGTTATAGAGAGGTAGTCACACCTAAGTTCCAGGATAAAGGTAGCTGGGTGACTGTTAGGGGAGGGAAAGATAATAGGCAGGCAGTGCAGGGGTCCCCTGTAGCTGTTCCCCTCAATAATAAGTATACCGTTTGGATACTGTTGGGGAGGGACAACCTACCAGGGGAAAGCCATTGTGGCCAGGTCACTGGCACTGAGCCTGGCTCTGTGGCTCAGAAGGCAAAGGGTGAGAATAGGAGAGCAATAGTGATAGGAGAGTCAACGGTTAGGGGAACAGACAGGAGATTCTGTTGTCGCAAACCAGACTCACAGATGGTATGTTGCCTCCCAGGTGCCAGGGTCAGGGATGTCTCCGATCGAGTCTACAGGATTCTTAAGGGGGAGGGTGAGCAGCCAGAAGCTGTGGTACACATTGGTACCAATGACATAACTAGGAAAAGGGATGAGGACCTGAAAAGTGAATATAGGGAGTTAGGTTGGAAGCTAAAAGGCAGGACGAGCAGAGTAGTAATCAGGATTACTACTGGTGCCACGGGCTAGTGAGGCTAGGAATAGAGAGCGAGTGCAGCTGAACGCGTGGCTACAGAGCTGGTGTAGGACGGAGGGCTTCAGATATGTGGATCGTTGGGATACTTCCTGAGGAAGGTGGGACCTGTACAAGAAGGATGGGTTGCACCTAAACTGGAGGGGCACCAATATCCTTGGCAGGAAGTTTGCTAGAGCTCTTCGGGAGGGTTTAAATTAGTTTGGAAGGGAGATGGGAATCGGAGCTACGGGTCAGAGGATGGGGTAGCTGGTGTACAGGCAGATACAGTATGCAGAGAGTCTGTGAGGAAGGATAGAAAGTTGATAAGGCAAAGTTGCAGCCAGTGTGACGGGTTGAAGTGTGTCTATTTTAACGCATGTGTCAGGAATAACGGGGATGAACTTAGAGCATGGATCAGTACTTGGAGCTATGATGTTGTGGCCATTATGGAGACTTGGATAACACAGGGGCAGGAATGGTTGTTGGATGTTCTGGGGTTTAGATGTTTCAAAAGAAATAGGGAGGGAGGTAAGAGAGGTGGGGGGAGTGGCATTGCTAATCAGGGATAGTATCACAGCTGCAGAAAGGGAGGTCATCGAGGAGAGTTTGTCGACTGAGTCAGTATGGGTGGAAGTCAGAAACAGGAAAGGAGCAGTCACTTTGTTGGGAGTTTTCTATAGACCCCTCAATAGCAACAGAGACACTGAGGAACAGATTGGGAGGCAGATTTTGGAAAGGTGCAGAAGTAATAGGATTGTTGTCATGGGCGACTTCAACTTCCCTAATATCGACTAGAACCTCCTTAGTGCAAATAGTTTGGATGGAGTGATTTTGTCAGGTGTGACCAGGAAGGATTCCTGACTCAATATGCAGATAGGCTGACTACAGGGGAGGCCATATTGGATTTGGTGCTTGGCAACCAACCAGGCCAGGTGTCAGATCTCTGTGGGAGAGCATTTCGGTGATGGTGATCACAACTCCCTGACCTTTACGAAAGTCATGGAGAGGGATAGGAGCCGACAATATGGAAAAGTATTTAATTGGGGGAGGGGGAATTACAATGCTATTAGGCAGGAACTGTGGAGCATAAATTGGGAACAGATGTTATCAGGGAAATACACGACAGAAAGGTGAAAGTTGTTTAGGGAGCACTGACGCAAGGAAGGGATGGTAAGGTGAAGGAACCTTGGATGACAAGACATGTGGAACATCTAGTCAAGAGGAAGAAGGAAGCTTACTTAAGGTTGAGGAAGCAAGGATCAGACAGGGCTCCAGAGGGTTACAAGGTAGCCAGGAAGGAACTGAAGAATGGACTTAGGAGACCTAGAAGGGGGCATGAAGCCTTGGCGGGTAGGATGAAGGAAAACCCGAAAGCATTCTATACTCATGTGAGGAACAGTAGGATGGCCAGAGTGAGGGTAGGGCCGATCAGGGATAGTGGAGGGAACTTGTGCCTGGAGTTGCAGGAGGTCCTTAATGAATACTTTGCTTTAGTTTCACCAGTGAAAGGGACCTTGACGTTTGTGAGGACAGCGTGAAACAGGCTGATATGCTCGAACAGATTGACGTTAGGAAGGAGGTTGTGCTAGAAATTTTGAAAAACATGAGAACAGACAAGTCCCCTGGGCCAGACAGGATATATCCAAGGTTACTACGGGAAGCGAGGGAAGAGATTGTTGCGCCTTTGGCGATGATCTTTGCGTCCTCACTGTCCATTGGAGTAGTACCAGATGATTGGAGGATAGCAAATGTTATTTCCTTGTTCAAGAAAGGGAATAGGAATAACCCTGGGAATTACAGACCAGTCAGTCTTACTTCTGTGATGGGCAAATTATTGGAGAGGATTCTGAGGGATACTATTTAGGATTATTTGGAAAAGCATAGTTTGATTAGAAATAGTCAGCATGGCTTTGCGAGGGGCAGGTCATGCCTCACAAGCTTTATTGAATTCTTTGAGGAGGTGACAAAACAGTCGATGTGGAGTATATGGATTTTAGCAAAGTGTTTGATAAGGTTCCCCATGGTAGGCTCATTCAGAAAGTAAGGAGACATAGGATTCAGGGAAATTTGGCTGTCTGGATACAGAATTGGCTATCCAGTAGAAGACAGAGGGTGGTAGTAGATGGAAAGTATTCAGCCTAGAGCTCGGTGACCAGTGGTGTTCCACAGGGATCTGTTCTGGGACCTCTTCTCTTTGTGATTTTTATAAATGACTTAGGTGAGGAAGTGGAAGGATGAGTTAGTAAGTTTGCTGATGACATGAAGGTTCGTTGAATTGTTGTTAGTGTGGAGGGCTGTTTTAAGTTGCAATGGGACGTTGACAGGGTGGCGTTTAGGGTGGCACGGTGGCTCAGTGGCTAGGGACCTGGGTTCAATTCCAGCCTTGGGTGACTGGCTGTGTGGAGTTTGCACATTCTCCCCGTGTCTGCGTGGGTTTGCTCCGGTTTCCTCCCACAGTCCAAAGATGTGCAGGTTAGGTGAATTGGCCATGCTAGATTGCCCATAGGAATATGTAGATTAGGTGGGTTATAGGGGGATGAGTCTGGTTGGGATGCTTTGAGGGTCGGTGTGGACTTGTTGGGCCAAAGGGCCTGTTTCTACAGCGTAGGGATTCTATTCTATTCTATGACAAGATGTAGAGCTGGGCAAAGAAGTGGCAGATGGAATTCAACCTGGAAAAGTTTGAAGTGATTCATTTTGGAAGGTTGAATTTTAATGCAGAATACAGGGTTAATGGCAGGATTCTTGGCAGTGTGGAGGAACAGAGGGATCTTGGGGTCCATGTCCATAGAATCCTCAAAGTTGGCACCCAACTTGATACAGTTAAGAAGGCGTATGGTGTGTTGGCTTTCATTGGCAAGGGAATTGAGTTTAAGAGCCGTGAGCAGCTCTATAAAACCCTGGTTAGACCACACTTGGAATATTGTGTTCTGTTCTAGTTGCCTCATTATAGGAAGGATGTGGAAGCTTTAGAGAGGGTGCACAAGAGATTTACCAGGATGCTGACTGGACTGGAAGGCAGGTCTTATGA